CAATGGTGTGTGTGTGTGTAATTATGGAACTCGTTATTTATGGCGTGCAAAGTTGCCTGTGTGGCTTAGGGGGGGGGGGCGGCGGTGGGGGTAATGGTGTGCCACAGCACAACCCGAATAGGTCCAGAATGATGTTGGGTGGCGGTGATGATCATTCGTGCGGTGGTGAAGATGATGACTTGCAACCCACTGGGATTTTTGCACACAGCATTGGTGTACGGTGATTTTTTTCCGCAATATTTTGCTGTCTTTTCTTGGATTTTCTGTTTGCACTTAGTCACATATTCACTTTAAGATATTTTTTGTTCATGTTTTTGTTTTTTGTTTGTTGCGGTTGCACCCGATTCAAGAGCCGAATGGCTCACAGGGCTATGCCTAATAAATTAACTTGAACTTGATGTATGTACGTTGAACATTTTTCGCAGCCGACGCAGCCAACCGTGCTAATCGGAGGTGCGGTGGAAGGACAACAAACTAAACACAATAAGCAATTCTAAAGAAATGGGTTGATGTAATGATGGCTGCGGTGGCGATGGTAGTGTGTGTGGGGAGTGGGAGTGTCGCGGTTAGCGCGCTGCGCTACGAACCCGGTAACCCGTGTTCAATTACCGCTCACAGACACCACCAGTGAAATTAATAAAAGTAATAATAAAAATTACTTTTATTAATTTTAATTTTATTATTTTTTACCTACGTGACTTTGCCGAAAAAACCTAAGAGTATGAATCCTTGCAGTCACGAAAGCTTCAAATCTAGAACCACCAGTGAAGATTATCTGAACCGTTTCTGGGCCCCCCTTAGGTCGACTCAGCCTCAAATGAGTACCTGGTGCGGTGTGTAAACATCGCCACTGGGGAGACAAAGGCGGCTTACGTAGGTGCTGTTGTATATGTTGGGTATGAAAATTTGTTATGTTGTATGCGTGCGTGGGTGAAATTATTATGTTGTATATGTGGGTTATGAATATTCAGTGGAAATAATAATAATTAAATGAAATTTGGCCAAATGTGTAATTACCCGGAAATATGTTAATTTATGTAATTACGCACATTTTATTATGCCAATTCGAGAGGTAATCGTATTAATTATGCGAGTGGGTGTAATTATGATAATGCAAGTCGTTATGATAACCAGACCCCGGTTCACCCCGTTATCGCTTTAACGTTTACTGAGTATGTATTAGTGTGTTTATTAAGGTCACCAAGTTCAAATCTCAACGCAGAAGCAGATCTTATGCATAGATTTCAGGAAAGAATCACACAACCACTTCTGTATTGATCAATTTATTACTAATTCAACCTTAACTATGATATAGTATGCGAACTCTCAATCCCGGAACGTCAATACGGCATCAATACAGTATCATCAACGATTGTCGGATTTCACTTCGACAACTGCACATGGATCCCGCCTAACGCGATGGTTGTTAGTGAGAGAGAGAGTCGTTAAAACGTGCAAATACTATGCTAAGAAAACCTTAACGTTAATAAATGATTATACTCAATATTGTTCACGCAGTACCGCACTCCTTATTGATCATACGCAACCCTTATCACGTTGTTAACACCTTGGGTCACGGAACAGTTGAATATTCTGTAGAGGATACGAGTACGTGCGGCGATTATGACTGAAAGATACTTGAAAGATTATACGGCGATAAAAAAAAAACACAATCGAAAACAGTTATTATTCTTAAAGGCACCAATCTCAACAGATACATCGGCAGGTTATCTCAGAACGGCTCGGAGTAAGGGCCTGCGACGGTGCTCCTTTTCCGAAGATCGTTATCTTATACCAAGTTTACTAATTGGGGACCAGATCACCTGATAAGGATCCGGTGGGCCACCACTCCCCACGTGAGCGTGGCTCGGCGGAAGGAGGTGCCAAGAATCAGTTCGTATTGATGGATCTGTTGGGAATTTATGCGATTAAGAGTACAGCCCACTAAATATTAAAGATAAAAATTAAGAATACTCTTATACGACGGAGGCCACCACTCGGTCTCGTTGTGATGCCTTCCCAGCCACGGATGACTTATGGGTTCGAGTGTGTTTGAGTGGTAAGAGTTGTCTTGAATAGTCAGTGTTCGGAGTCGATTCTTTAGGTCAAACAGACGCCTGGTGGTCGTGTGGTGAGGGGGCGGTGCGCGTCATACGTATCCATCGCTCCCCTGTCGGATGGCTGTTGATACGCTGTCGCAGTTCGGAACCCGGTCGGTAGGTGGCGCCCACAACTCGCTCGTAGCGTGCAGCGCTGGATCGTCGCCAAGTCGCGACGCTCACCACCGGCGGCAGCGGAGATCTCCGGCGGCAGCAGAGATTGACGAGCTGAAGATGAGTCGAGCCGACCCGCTGGTCGCAGCTCGCTCCTGAGTCGACCCTCCCGGTCGAGCTCGCTCCTGGGTCGACCCGCTGGTCGCCCTCGCTCCTGAGTCGACTCTCTGGTCGCACTCCTGAGTGGACCCGCTCTGGTCGCACTCGTTCCTGAGTCGACCCTCCCGGTCGAGCTTCTGAGTGGACCCTCCCGTCGCACTCGTTCCTGAGTCGACCCTCCCGGTCGAGCTTCTGAGTGGACCCTCCCGTCGCACTCCTGCTGAGTCGACCCTCCCGGTCGAGCTTCTGAGTGGACCCTCCCGTCGCACTGGTTTCCAATGTTCAGGATCCGTTCCTTTATGCTGAAAAATCCCCCTGGATCCCGCCCACAAGGCGGGGCTTCCGATTTTTGCTGTGTCAGGATCTGTCCGTAGGCAGGTGTGTCCATGTGTGTGTCCGTATGTCCTTGTGTGCATCACTGACGGTATATTCCGTTGTCAACTCCCTCCATAAAACCCACGAGCAAACAACCAGATGTTACAAATTGTCTCGAAGTCGTCTCTCTGTCTGGGTGCAATTTATCTCTTGTCTGGCCTTCTTCATGAACCCAAAACACAGACGTTACAAATCGTCTCATAGGCGTCTTTGTGATTTTGCACAACCTGGGGGGAGGGGCAACACTCTCTCCGACCCGGCGCACAAAGAAATGGTTAAAAGTTTTAAGTTAACATTTGTCCCTTACTATTTCACAGTTATGATTCTGTATGTAACCTAAGGTCTGTCGTTTCCCATCGTGGTTCCCGACCCAAGTGTAGGTGTTTCCCCGAGCGTACACACACTCCTATCCCGCGCTGCGGGGATACAAAGACGGCCGGGATCTCCCTTTCTCTCCGACCCTGGGTTTAACATTGTTTTTTTTTTTTTTTATTATGTATTTATATTCGACCTGGTGGTGATTCATCCCGTTATCCTGGCTTTTCCATAAGTTTAACTTTTGTCTTTCATGCATATACTTATTACTATTAATTTATTTCCGATATCTTAGGTTAAGGGGTAAGTTTCTTGATCCTAGGAATTCGTATTCCTTGGTGCCTGGATGGTTATATAAGCGGAATATAGTTTACGGTGAATAGCGTTAACATTGATGTTATGTGCGATATTATGTATTGTGATGTCTTTAACTTAACTTGTTTGTCAGGGCTTTACTGACACGAAGTTGCATTCCATAGCCCGCAGTCCTTGCCCCACCCTATCTCTGCTCGCCGTTGTTGTTGCCTGCCGTTAATTCAAGGCCTCATTAATTTCCGTCACCCCTGAGTAGGTGAGGGCGGTTGAACCTTGGAGTCAGTTCTGGTTTTTGTCTGCCTGCCTCTTCTTGTGTCCCCTGACCCCGGGAGTTATTATTCTACTTTATGGCCTGTCGAAGCCCCACTCGCTGTTGCTGGGCTGGTGTTGTTCCCGGCTTTTTGCTTACGTTTGCAGTTCGCCGTGCTCTTGATTTCCTTCCCTCTTCAACCTTATATTGACTATTCGCTCCTGTCTGGGTGCGATTCAATTTTGACTTAGGAAGGTTCTGATTGTCATATGCTTCGGGTCGAATTGTATAGAAAGTATTGAAGTATGGAAATAACATTTCATATTGACTTAATGATGGTGATGGTTCAGTAGGCGTAACTTGTGACCTGGTTTAATTGGAGTGGGTGTGAATATCAATAACTTTAGCCTACTCTGTTGTTAAATTCCGACTTTAACGTTACTTTAATAGCAATACAGAATAATTGAGCTTTTTGTCTTAACTAGGCGAATGCGAACTTCTGGTGACCCCCGCAGCCGTGTTGTTCAGCTGGGTCTTGTGCCTTGAGAGATATACAACCCTCTTTTAAATCACCTCTCCCCCTGCCAACCTTCTGCTCTGGGAGTGTTTATTCTTGATTCCAGGTCCAAGGCCCCCTCACATCCAGACGCGCAGGGTTGTTTACATCAGCTCCCCCCCTGTGCACGTGTTCTAACTAGCTCGGAATTCCTGAACACACAATCAGTGATGATTCCTGGCTTTCTGTGGTTGTGATTTAGACAAAGGTGCCTCTGTTTTCTTCCATTGCCTTTGAGTCGACACTGCCCTATTATTTGCCCATGTGCTGAGGTCATAGAATTCGTTTTGACTTCAGTAATATTAACATTCAGTATTGGATTAGCAAATGGGCAATGGTTCATTGATGTAGCTCGCAGCCTGGTCTCCAGTTTGAGCGAGCGCGAGGATCGATAATTTAGCCTACTCTGTTGTTGAATTTCGAATTTTGACGTTACTTTAAAACCATGCAGGATGATTGGCTTTTGCCTTAACTATGTCTGGCTGACACTCCCACTGTCTCTGCCGCCTGCACGGGTGACATGTGCCCGTTCATCAGGCCTTATCTTCCCTTGAAGCAACGTTGTAAATTCTGCCATCCTAACCCTCCTCCGGTTCATTACTTAACAACACCTGGTGTTTTGCAGTTTGCTGCGCTTGGTGTGTTTCACTCATTAAAAAAAACAAGTAAAAAGATAATATATAAAAATCATCAAATATTATTAATCTCAATTATGGAAGAAGGGTTAGTATACAACAGTGCCACTCGCTTACAGCAACGGTCTGTTCAGGCTTTGGTGGTGGTGGTGGTGTGGCGGTGGTGGTGTGTGTGTGTGCAGAAACCGGTGCTGGAGGCTTCCGTTGGTTTCCGTGCGTTCCTGGAGGCGCACTGCCCGGTTGTGAGCGAGCCCTTCCTGCCCACCGCGTGGTGCTGCAGCGGACGCATCCAGAGCGTGCTGCGCTTCCTACTCAAGTCCCGCCCGCCCATCCGCTACCGCACGTACGTACGCGCACACGCACCCTTGCATGCGATACTCATTGGCCGTTAGTATTGTTGTCATTAGCACTACTGCTACTACTACTGATATACGCTTGCGACTGGTAGGAACCTCCTGGTTACACCAGCCCACAGGGGATTATTGTGTTCGTCCGTCCGTCGTGAATCCAAAAATGGGAGGGGTGGGGTTGGGTAGAGAGGGGAGGGTGGGGTAGGGGCTGGGTGGGGAGGGAAGGGGCTGGGTGGGGAGGGTGGGGGGTGGGGCTGGGTGGGGAGGGGCTGGTCACCCCGTGGTGCCCTTATAAAACTCAACGTTTAACCTACTCACGCCGGCTTGTGCCCGCCCTCACAGTCGGGCATATTTGCGGAATACACCACGCCGCCGTTGACCCTGGTCATTGACCGACCAATCCAACGTTCCTACCAGCTGCCTCCGCAGGAATGTGTTTACCCGGGAGAGTCAGGAGGAAATGTGAAGACAGGCCACTGGGCGGCCGAAATGTCGCCAGTTTGTTTTTCTGTCAAAGGATCCTGACGATAATTGTTTTTTTACCCTTTCATCTGGCAACAAAACTGACACCTTTTTTTACAAGAAGTCATGTTTGCATAGACCACAATACCTGCAGTCATAATGCAAACAAAAAACACAACTCTGATAATGTATGCACTGTCCTTGAAATTGATTGGTCCACACCCGAGACAGCTTTCCTTAGAGCCTAGTCTCACATGGTGTTGGACCAGATGACGCCAAAAGGCGCACAACTCAAAGACAATGCACCATCAGAGTATGAGAGCTCGGGGTAAGCATTTACACCATTGGAAAAAAAAAGGTGTCAGTTTTGTTGCCAGATGAAAGGGTAAAAAACCAATTATCATATTTTGTACTGGCAAATGAGGTTCCAATGGTGTAAATGGATCCTAACGAGGTTTCATTGTAAGGCGGGGGGGGGGTGGACGGTGATGATATGATTGATCGGGAAGCGGTGTTTTATATTATTTGACAATTATTAACACCACTACCATAGCCACCAGCACCTCCATAAAAGCCTCTCAAAACCCTCTGTCAACCTCCGCTAATTTGGAGTTCGCTCGTCCTCTGCTGCTGCTGCCACCATATTTGAGATTCGCCTGCCATCAGTGCTACTGGGTTCCCTACCTCTACTCAAACGTCGGCTCAACATTTGACATTTTCGGATCGATTGACGTGCAAGCCGAAGTGAGCACGGACCCGATTTAAAACGCTGGTCATCCTCTCGGCTGAAGCCATCTTCCTCCAACTGTTCGCAAAGCCAACGCGGACCACAGAGAGATGGAGAGGGGGTGGGGGGGGGCAGAGGTCGCAACCGGGTACCCAATACCCGTACCCTACCCGATACCCGGCTACCCGTACCCGGCCGGGTATCGGGTACGGGTACCTGTTTGCGACCCTGGTGCGGCCAGGTACGGGTACGGGTAGGCCGTGAGTCACTGAGTAACCATTTGTCACTCATTTCCCAACGTCTTGTCTCTTCTCACATTCCCAGTTCCTAGAATCAACCCACCCGCGCCTGCAACATGGCTTCATCCCAGAGGTCACAACCGGGTACCCGTACCCTACCCGATACCCGGCCGGGTACGGGTAGCCGGGTATCGGGTAGGGTACGGGTAGCCGTTTGCGACCCTGGTGCGGCCGGGTACGGGTACGGGTAAGGAATCAAAACCCGTTTGCGACCTCTGGTGTGGGAGTGGGGGGGGGGTAAGAGCTTGAGCGACGTGCAGGCTCCGTCAACGTGCGTCGGCGCTGTGCCCACAGGGAGGTGCTGGCGACGCCCGACGGAGGGCAGCTCTCCCTCGAGTGGCTTGTCGACGAGGACGGAGATGGCGAAGGTGACGACGGTGGCGAGCGGCGACAGCGGTGGCAGCCGGCGGGAGGCGAGCTGGCCCGGCCCACGGTGCTGCTGCTGCCGGGCCTGACCAGCAACAGCCGGGAGAACTACGTGCTGCATCTCGTGCAGCAGACAGCCGATCTGGGATACCGGTGAGAATAGGCCAGAGACTGCATGCTTCCTCTCTACTGCCCCGCTTGTGATCGTGATTATCGATTTCAATGGAAGTGTGGTTACAACCCCTGTTATCCACGGTCTCGAATTGAACCCAGGTCACGAGGTTCCCAGTGCAGTGCGTGCACAAACCACAACGCCATCCCAAAGACAAATATCCCTACGTGTAGCCCTAACAGACTGTTGGGGCGGGTGCTGTTAGCGAGCATCTATGAAGGCTCGCACGTCACGCGAAGGGGGTAGGTGGCCAGCACCACGCCTGGCCCCCTTTGTCTCCCCAGTGGCGATGTTTACACACCGCACCACGTGCTCAACGCCATCCCTCCTGCATACGTACAGACGTGCGCGCACACACACACAAAGACAAAGATAAAGATCCCCCATATAGCCTTAACAGGCTGTAGGGGCAAGTGCTGTTAGCAAGCACCTATGAAGGCCGGAACGGTACACGAGGGGGTGGGTGGTCAGCACCACGCCCGACCGCCTTTGTCTCCCCAGTGGCGATGTTTACACACCGCACCAGGTACTCATTTTAGGCTGAGTCGACCTAGGAGAGGCCCAGGACCGGTTCAGATAATCGTCACTGGTGTTGGCCGTGAGCGGGAATCGAACCCGTGTCTCGGGGTTCATAGCGCAGCACACTACCGCTCCCCATAACACACACACACACTCGCACACGCGCTCATCACTACGTGGCCTTGAATCAATTCCAACGCAATAATTGCCTTTCACGTGAATTATTCCCCTTTAGCCTTGATCTCAAGAGGCATGAATCGCAACCGGCTGTCTCTTTAACAACTCCGTTCCGAGCCGTGCCAACTACTACGATCACTTCTCATTCCGCCAGCGGCGAACGCTTGTCCCCAAGTGCACAGTTGACCTTGCGTTGTCCCTTTCTCCCCCCCCCCCCCACCACCGCGTACAGGTGTGCGGTGTTCAACTACCGCGGCTGCGGTGAGGAGGAATTACTGGTGAGTGCCTGACATTACTGCCAGGTTCAGGAGGGGCTCCCGCTTATCGATGGGAATCAGAGCAGCCGACAGAAAAGCCACCACGCTTACGAGGGGGTGGCACTCAGCACTGCCATCTCCTGGCCGCCTCGCAGCACCACCACCCCTTACGAGCAGAGGTCGCAACCGGGTACACGATACCCGTACCCTACCCGATACCCATACCCTACCCGATTCCCGGCTACCCGTACCCGTTTGCGACCCTGGTGCGGCCGGGTACGGGTACGGGTAGACCGTGAGTCACTGGTGAGTAACCGTTTGTCACTCATTTCCCAACGTCTTGTTTCTCTCACAATTCAAGTTCCTAGAATCAACCCACCCACGCCTGCAACATGGCTTCATCCCAGAGGTCGCAATCGGGTACTCGTACCCTACCCGATACCCGGCTACTAGTACCCGGCCGGTTATTGGGTAGGGTACGGGTATCGGTTAACCGGTTGCGACCCTGGTGCGGCCGGGTACGGGTACGGGTAAGGAATCAAAACCCGTTTGCGACCTCTACTTACGAGTCCTGGTGGTCAACCATCCACGTACTAACCAGGCTCAGCTGAGCTTCTGAGGTCAGACAAAATTGGGGGTTGGGGGGGGCATGTTGGGTGACTTTGTCGCTGTAAAACAACAAAAAATGGCTTTGGCACTTATATGAAGATACTCTGCACCCCAAGACTGAAATATGTCTCAACAAAGGTTCAAAAGACAAGATTAGCCTTTGAACATCGGTATACGCAGGCGACGTTAGGGACTGCATGACAAGATGGGGTAAGCAACCGGAAGGTTTAGAATGGCAATTAATGTTGTAGAGAAAGCTTAACGGAACAGGAGGTCACGATGAGCGAGGCACCGCTTGAGCAGGTTGCACGGATGGTAGGTTACCGAGGCGGCAATTTTTAATGGCGCTTCTAAGTCCTGCTTTGTTAGAACAAGTCAACGTTGCCTGCCCGATATTCCCGTGAAATTCCCAGCATCTTCCACATGCCACTCGCTACTGGAACTGGCCAATCACTGCAGACTTTAGTGAAGCTTTCGTGGAAATTTATAAAGAGCATTATTTATTGTGATTGCTGCACATCTAGTGAAAGACCAGGAGCTTCTTGAAATTCAACAGCCAAGAGAAAGACTTTGAGCCAGATGGTGAATACTCCTAGGAGCAGATAATAGCCACATGCCAGGCACATATCAACCACCACCCGCTGAAGCTCAAAGCAGTTTGCGTGAAAGGTCCCATGTTCGTGTCCTGGGCCTCCCCTAGGTCGACTCAGCCTCAAACGAGTAACTGGTGTGGTGTGTGAACATCGCCACTGGGGAGACAAAGACGGCTGGGTGTGGTGAATCCAAGTCCCGAGCAAAGCCGGATAGTACAGCTAGTATCTTTATAAACGTGACAACTGTGTTTAGAGTATTTGGCTGCTATAAATTTCTACGCGATAAGCCACTTGGTTGCGCAATCATTTGTGGCCAGGTTGCTACTGAAAAGGAGCTACGTAGCTCACGCTCAGTGGATCTTATCTGGTAGAAATAAATAAATAAAATTAGGTAGTGGAGAGTTAATGACAAGGATTTTGGCATAAAAACCACCACGTGTCCTAACCCAACAACAATAGCCGTGGATGATTGCATGGGCTACGAAAACCTCCGTTTGAAATCCACACACTGATCGCATGGAGGTGCCAACCACACGTCCAAACAGCCGACGGGATCTGGCAGAAGGAAGGAAGCGACGGTGTGGCTGCTACGACGTGTAACTTGGCATTAAACGCGTGGCTTCCGTGTGGCCTCCCGCAGACGCCGCGCATGTACAGCGCCGCCAACACCGAAGACCTGGAGCTGGTGGTGTTGCACATCCGCGCCCTGTACCCGGACAGCGCCCTGCTCGCCGTCGGCATGTCCATGGGAGGGTAGGGCTCGCCGCGACGCAGTGACGCACAGATTTGGAGATGAGGGCATCTGATAATTGTTTTTTTACCCTTTATCTGGCAACAAAACTGACACCTTTTTTTACAAGGAGTCATGTTTGCATAGACCACAATACCTGCAGCCATAATGCAAACAAAAAACATAACTCTGATAATATATGCACTGTCCTTGAAGTTGATTGGTCCACACCCGAGACAGCTTTCCTTAGAGCCTAGTCTCACATGGTGTTGGACCAGATGACGCCAAAGGCGCACAACTCAAAGATAATGCACCATCAGAGTATGAGAGCTCTGGGTAAGCATTTACACCATTGGATCCTCATTTGCCAGTAAAAAATATGATAATTGGTTTTTACCCTTCTATCTGGCAACAAAACTGACATCTTTATTTTCTAGGCTCTAAGGAAAGCTGTCTCGGGTGTGGACTAATCAACTTCAAGGACAGTGCATTTATTATCAGAGTTATGCTTTTTGTTTGCATTATGGCTGCAGGTATTGTGGTCTATGCAAACATGACTCCTTGTAAAAAAAGGTGTCAGTTTTGTTGCCAGTTAGAAGGGTAAAAAACCAATTATCATATTTTTTACTGGCAAATGAGGTTCCAATGGTGTAAATGAGGGCGTCTTTTTAGGCGGAGAGCCTAAACAGACCGTTGGGGCAAGTGCTGTGAGCGAGCACCTATGAAGGCCGGCACGGTACACGAGGGGGTGGGTGGCCAGCACCACCCGTTTTTTTCGGTGTTGTTTTTAACCGTGAAGTTGTTTACGGTTTGTCCAGTTTTGTTTGCCCCAATTAGCCTAAATGTAACACCAGCGTATCGTTTGAACGCGATCATTACGCGCGGCCTGCAAAGGATCTATTGAAAGTGGAATGACACACGAGGTAGGCACCGTGTTATTGGCCTTCCCCAGTTATCACATTCCTACAAGGGCCGTCGCAATATAATTTCAGACCCACACATTCGCAGGGGCAGCGTCCAAAGCTCTGCACAGCGAACCAGGCGGTGGAGGCTACGCACGTGGCCTGTAATCCAGCCCTGTGGACGCAGCGAGGGTGGGTGGGTCATTGCACAAATGTAGCGAATCTCCCTTCCCATGGGCATTAAGGTGCCATATCCCTGACTCATCAAGGAGAAGGCGGTATACAGCAATGTGCGAAATAATATAATCTGTTCCAACTGTATGGGGATAGAGTGTTGCCCCCTCGCATGCGCGAGTTTTCTCCCGAGTGCTCCGGTTTCCTCCCACATGTATGAGCACTCATCAATTGGCTGAAGACATCTTAATATATAGAGGACTGCAAAACGTGGGTAATCGATGTTGGTGCCGGCAACGCAGGTTGTCTGTGGTTCCTCAGCGATTGTATGATTCTAATTCCATGAACGGCGATGCCATATAAAACGAAACATTATTATTACTCTGAAAGATTCGAGAATCCTTTGCAAGACTGCCACCATTGAGGCTTTGCACGACCATTATCCATAATAGAGGTTTTTTTCTGGGTTAGATATATATTTAGATCGCTTAATTTTTATAAGATTTACCCAAAGAAAACCTTTATTATAGACGCCACTATCTCCTGCCAATGAATTACATTTCTCTCCGATCTTTTTCTAAATTTTTACCGTCCTCTTTCCTCCCTACCTTTGGACTCGCAACCGTGACTCCCGACCCCTGACCCCAGGATGATGCTGCTGAACTACCTGGCGGCGATGGGGCGGCGCGCGGGCGTGGAGGCGGCGCTCACCGTCTCCGTGCCGTGGGACGCCTTCACGTCGACCGCGTCGCTCGAGACGCCGCTCAACAGCGTGCTCTTCAACCGCGTGCTCACGCACCTGCTCACCGGCGCCGTGCACAGGTGCCCGCCCCACACACCACCAACCACCACCACCAACCACTAACTAACACCATCACCACCACCAACCACCACCACCGACCACCCCCCGACCACCCCCACCACCAACCACCCCCCACCAACCACCACCACCACCAACCACTAACTAACACCACCACTAACTAACACCACCACCAACCACCACCACCGACCACCACCCAAACCAACCACCACCAACCACCCTCCACCAACCACCAGCACCACCAACAACTACCACCACCACCAACCACCACCACCAACCACCAGCACCACCAACAACTACCACCACCACCAACCACCACCACCAACCACCAGCACCACCAACAACTACCACCACCACCAACCACCACCACCAACCACCACCAACCACCGGTTACCCCCCACACCAACCACCCCCCTACCAACCACCCCCTACCAACCACCACCACCAACCACCCCCCACCACTAGTGACTAGTGACCTGCTTACCTTTCCTATACTTTGCACTCTGTGTCGCTGTTTTTATTTGTTGTTGAAACTGACCATCCTCCCCCCCTACTGGACATCTGCGGAAAAGAGCTACGTAGCCATCAGATTCCTCCAGTACCAATAAAGATTCTGATTCTGACACGGCGCCCCATCGCTCCGCCAAGCATCGCCTCCTGCCGAAGCCCCCCCCCCTCCCCCGTCCCCCCGCCAGGTCCAACCCTCCGCTCGCCATCAACGTAACGCTGTCTTCCTCGCCGTTGCGCGCAGGCACCGGGAGGTCCTGAAGAAGAGGTACGACGTGGAGCACATCATGAAGGTGCGGACGTGCCGACTCTCGCTCGGGGGCCCGTCATCCACATCCCACCTCCCCCCGACCTCCCACAGCCGACCACTAACACGGCGGCGCCGCTTTCGCTATCCGTTCTCCCGCGCCTCCCGGTCCAGATCGCATCGCTCTGCTGTTAAGCAGTGGCACCGTGCGATCGCCGTGCGCCACGTTCCGTTGCGTCGCACGGAGCGTTGCAACCCCGCCGTGTTGTGCGGCGATGGGTTTCGCCAGAGGTCGCAACCGGGTACCCGATACCCGTACCCTACCCGATACCCGGCCGGGTATGGGTACGGGTACCCGTTTGCGACCCTGGTGCGGCCGGGTACGGGTAAGGAACAAAACCCGTTTGCAACCTCTGGGATGCGCCCATTCTTGTGCAGGGAAATTGAGTAAAAGCTATTTTTAAATCCTTTATATTAAGTTCGCGTGCTTGCTTGCTTGCTTGCTTGCGTGCTTGCTTGCTTGCTTGTGTAGGGGTGTTAAAGAGAGGGCCCGTTATGCATGGCAGCCTATGGAAAACAAACACAGTGGGCGGGGCTACGTAAGTGCACGAGGAGGTGCCCTCTACGACGTCCGAGCCAGACACCCTGGGGGGGGCTGGTTCGAACGTTATGATCCCCCGGGGCCCCACCCCTCAGGGAGGGGTTGGGTATAAAAGGGGATGTTTCAAAGGGCTCGGGGGTTATGTTTTAAGCTAAAGGAAGAAGACTGAAGACGTCTTAGATAGAGCCCTGGACTCCCCTAGTTCGATGTCCTTTTCAGGGCCGGACAGGACTGAGCCAGCGGCGTGGTCCCGAAAGCCAGAGCCGGTGCTTTTGTAAGAGCTGGTCTGGAACTCCGGGTACCGGGCCCGACTTACCAGTGTCGGGCCAGATAGCCTCACCTAGCCCATTAGTGGAGGACTCGGGGCTAGGACAGAGTTAGCTAGGGGTGTATCCCGAGTTATACGGGTGAGGGGGCCGATACCCCCTCGAGTGTTATATGCCCACTGTCGTATTGTGAAATAAATATACGTGTGCCTCAACCTCGGTGTCAAGCGTCCTCACCGGTACTTCACTTGCTTAGGACCGTGCAAATCTTTCGGTCGTTTTTTAACCCACTTCTCGTGATCCAATCGAGCTGACATTTTCCACACAGACTCGTTGTGCCAGACAATTATTGTTCGTGAAAAAAAATTCCCTAAATTTTACACTTTTTAGGCAAAAAAAATGTATTTTACATATATTCAAATAGAACGCATTCATGGCTTTGGCTGAACGTCAGAGTGTAAGAGCCCAGAGCGTAACCCCTCCACAGGCCGTGGCGGAGTAGCGCAGTTGGTAGCGCCCTCGCTTCCCATGCCAAAGGTCGCGGGATCGATCCCTGCGTCCTCCACAGGCGAATATATTTTTAAATCCTTTATATTAAGTTCGCTTGCTTGCTTAGGACCGTGCAAATCTTTCGGTCGTTTTTTAAATCCTTTATATTAAGTTTGCGTGCTTGCTTGCTTGCGTGCTTGCTTGCTTGCTTGCGTGCTTGCTTGCTTGCTTAGGACCGTGCAAATCTTTCGGTCGTTTTTTAACCCACTTCCCGTGATCCAATCGAGCTGACATTTTCCACACAGACTCGTTGTGCCAGACAATTATTGTTCATGAAAAAAAATTCCCAAAATTTTACACTTTTTAGGCAAAAAAAAATAATTTTACATATATTCAAATAGAACGCATTCATGGCTTTGGCTGAACGTCAGAGTGTAAGAGCCCAGAGCGTAACCCCTCCACAGGCCGTGGCGGAGTAGCGCAGTTGGTAGCGCCCTCGCTTCCCATGCCAAAGGTCGCAGGATCGATCCCCGCGTCCTCCACAGGCGAATATATTTTAAAATCCTTTATATTAAGTTCGCTTGCTTGCTTAGGACCGTGCAAATCTTTCGCTCGTTTTTTAACCCACTTCCCGTGATCCAATCGAGCTGACATTTTCCACACAGACTCGTTGTGTGTGACAATTAATTTTTGTGAAAAAAAAATCCAAAATTTTACACTGTTTAGGGAAAACAAATTAAATATTTAATTACCAATTGCTTAATGGTGGCAGACAATCATCTGACCCATAGGTGGCAGCCATCTCAAGCCAGAGGACGAGAGGACTCTAGCCGCCACGCATATAAAGGATTTATAGTGAAACACTTTGTTTTTACGGGTTTAATTGTTTGTTGTCAATTTGTTAGCGTTTCTCCCTTGTGATGGGACTTCTCTGTAGGGTGAACGTTGAGATTTATAATGGCACGGGGTGACCAATAAGGTCTGACTTGACCTTTAATATGGTAGGGCACTGATAAGGGGTTGACATTGCGCAACACATTTGCGCAAAGTGTTGCATAGCACCGCGTTGGGCTACATTTGCACCTCGTTAGACGGTGTGTTTGCACTTCGTCGTATGATGATGCGTTGTCGTGTAATGGTGGGGGTTGCATTGCGTAATGTTGGGTGACGTGTTGTTTGGTATTGTGTCGGTGTTGTGTCAATGTCAAGAAAACCCCACCGTTAACAGAAAAATTAGCAAGCAAATAGATTCACCAACACACGCAGGTTTGTAGCATGGCCTGTTGCGAAGCTTACAGCCTTACCTAGACCTGAATGCGTGGCCATTTGGTCGGTTAGAACCAGCGACTGAAAGAGTTGAGATAACGCGGATATCCCAACGGGCAGCGGCGAAACAAAGACGCAACTTTAGACGGGTTTCGTCCTCACTAGGACTCATCAATTACAGTACAGTCATCAACGTTTGCTGCTACCACATGCCTCTGGGAGCCCATACATGGAAAAGGACTTTAGCTTTAGATTATGGAAACCACATTAACACTTTCCTAGGGCAAAGATAATTGTTCTGGATAATTGGTCTGGATAATTGGTCTGGATAATTGGTCTGGATAATTGGTCTGGATAATTAGTCTGGTGGTCTGAAGCTGTTGTGTCTACAATGAGCACCTGTGTGTGTGCCTGTGTGTGCTGTTAAATCTATTTGTTTTTCCAGCCGGCATCAATGTTTCTGTTGTGATTGGCCATCGTTCACAGATTTGAGATTTTGTGCAGTGGCGAGATGTTAACTACCTCGCCTGGTATACAGAACGTCGTGGGTTCGATCTCGACATTGACGCCTGTACATTTGGAGTTTGCATGTTCTCCCCGTGGTCGCGTGGATTTTTCATTGGGTCCTTAGTTTTTTCCCTCTACGTTTAGAAACATGCATTTAGAGTATTTGGCTGCTATTAAGCTCCACCCCACACCCTCTCGGCTCTATATATAAGGACTTGTTTCAGGAGCCTGTTTCTAACTCCCACCTGAAGACGGTTGCTTGTGTGGCGATCGAAACGTCGCGATCTATTATGATTTTTCCTACCTACGTGACTTTACCAAAAGAACCAAAGAGTATGGATTCCTGCAGTCACGAAAGCTTCAAATCAAGAATGATGAGCCACTTCGTTAAGCTACCTGAAAAAAGAGCTATATAGCTTTTTGGGCCTTACCTGGTAAAATAAAAAAATAATTTAGTTTAATAGTTTTATATCTACCATGTCGCTTTTCAATGAAATGGGTCTTGTTTTGTGTGTTGAAATGTACGCCGTAGTGATTATATTGCACAACCCCTGCCGTCTCACGGGGCCGCGTGTCCTTCTCGCGTGCAGTCTCGCTCGCTGTGGGAGTACGACGAGCGGCTCATCTCCATCATGTTCGGCTACAGCTCGGTGCGCAGCTACTACCACGACGCGAGCCCCTGCCACAAGCTGCCCGCCGTGCGCGTCCCCGTGCTGTGCCTCAACGCCGCCGACGACCCCCTGTCTCCGGCCAGCGGTAATGTTCCCAGCGGAGTCGCGCCGTCAACTCTGTCGTCGTCACCGTCGTGATCAACCGGTGACGGTGGTGACACACGCCTGTAGTGGTAGTAATAATAATCGACAGACCTGGTCTTCACCTGATGGACGGCTGCTTGCGTTGTGGCCGAAACGTCGTGAGAATTATTTTATTATGTTTTATTTTTATTATTTTATTACTTCCCTTCTACGTGACTTTACCGAAAGAACCATGAAAATTGTCGCAACTTCTTGGTTCTTTCGGTAAAGTCACGTAGAAGGGAAATAATAAAATAATATTTTTATTCTTTTATTCACGTACAAAGGAAATAATAAACGAATATTTCCATTATTTTATTATTTCCCTTCTACGTGACTTTACCGAAAGAACCAAGAAGATTAATCCCTGCAGTCACGAAAGCTTAAAATCAAACTTGTGTAGAGGAGTAAAATGGGGACGTGACGTCAGGTGTGCCGTTCAGTGCGATGACGTCACGTCTCCTAGGTTACTTAAGGGATACCCCGTGACGTAAGCGGGGTCACCGTGGTAACGGGTAGAGTAAGCAGGGTGAAGAGGGAACCAGGGGTAGAGAGAGGGATCGAGTGGTGAGTCTGGGGAGAAGCCGGTGGTAGTAGCCGTAGAGGTGCTTCTCTCTCCGCTCGGTGGAGTCGGCAGAGTCCCCGATCCGACACGAGAGAGAGAGACCGGAGCTAGCCGGCAGGGACCCGGACTCAGAGTAGGACCCCCCTAGCCCCTGGGAGTTGTGTACCCTGCTGTGTAATATTGTAACAGCTTGTAGTGAAGCACCGTCGCGCGGCATTCGCTCGCTGTCGTGGAGAGGGAACGGCTCAAGAGGTGCGAGGGACCGCAGGCAGGTGGGAAGGCAGTCGCCACGTGGTGAGCCGGCACCCCAAGCTCTGTGGTCCTTTATATATGAAGGTGTTTTTGGCCCATTAATTATTTTAACACATCGGGTGGTGGCGGGTTTAATGACACATTTATATATTTACGCGATCTAACCCCAAAAAAAAAAACCTGTGTTATGGATGAAAGCCTACGACATGTTAAACTAACCAGTACGTAATTGCAACTGAAAATAAATATGTAAAAAGCAAACAGTTACGTTTAATGCCCCAACGAAAAAAGCTTCTCTGGCATTGCGTAAGTTATCATGCGTATGTGGACAGGCGATAAATCACGGGGCTCTGAAATGAGCCTTGAGGATGCGGCTCGTTCGCTGTACATCGTTGTGTTCAATCAATCATTCTTTATTTTACGTGCCAATATCGCTCTCAATAATGTAGCCATCAGAGCACTTTACGACTGAGCAAAGTAAATTGCAACCGGGACGCGAAGTAAAGTGCAACCGTGCGCAACGAGCAGCATAAGAAAGTTAAGTAGTAAATAAAATAACTAAGTAATCAACATTTTTTTATCCTTTATATTAAGTTCGCTTGCTTGCTTGCTTGCGTGCTTGCGTGCTTGCTTGCTTGCTTACGACCGTGCAAATCTTTCGGTCGTTTTTTAACCCACTTCCCGTGATCCAATCGAGCTGACATTTTGCACACAGACTCGTTGTGCGTGACAATTTATTTTCGTGAATTTTTTTCCCAAAATTTTACACTTTTTAGGAATTTTTAAATATATATTTAATTACCAATTGCTTAATGGTGGCAGGCAATCATCTCACCCATAGGTGGCAGCCATCTCAAGCCAGAGGATGAGAGGACTCTAGCCGCCACGCATATAAAGGATTTATAGTGAAAAACTTTGTTTTTACGGGTTAATTTTTTTAATTTTATTTTAGATTTTATGTGCAGGTGAGTCTGAATAGACCACGGAATTGAGAGGCACTCGGCGCGTTTAGGACATCTTGCGGTTGATGCGGGTTTATAAAAGATATATTCACAGCATTGTTAAATATCACCCAAAATAAAACGTCTTTGTTCTGCATCTCTTTCTGAAAACATCTCCCCCCCCCTCCACTCTTCCTCCCTACACCCCCCCCTCCATATAATTTCTCAGTACTTCATCACTTCAAATGCAGAATGAACGATCACAAAAACCAACATTGCCCCTTGCCAACAATCAGCAAAAAAAAAACCTGCTGAAAGAATGCCAACCCGAGGGCTATTTTAGTTTTTTTTTTTTACAATCCCAACACACACAGAGTGCAGCCATTGCAGTTAATTGAATTATTTATGCTCTTCGCATCAATTCACGTTAAATCATTTGACCGCAGCTAAAAGGGGCTCCCGTGGGACCTGCCGCTGCTGGCTTTGCGACGGGGTTTTTTGCGTTTTACGGATTGTTCACACATCCGCCCCCTGCACTTGACACAAATTGCCTTATGGGTACCGCCAAGGGTCAAATTCTATTCGTCGATCACAAAAATACATGGCAGCAAGTTATCCGTGGCAGCTTAAAGAGTACCGTTGTATCCCGGTAGACTTGCAACGTTGGGACAACGTTGGTTGACGTTGCCCCAACGTTGATTCCGGTGTTGGTTCATGGGCTGTCTGTCTGCCCGGTGTGAGATCTGGAATCGTGGGGGGCTTGGTGCAGCCAGCACGCTGCACACCGAGTCCGGCGCCAGATGGCGTTCTCACTCCGGTCGTGAACAGCAAACGTACACAGACAACCCTACGCAAGGGCGACAACGGCTCAGGATAAAAAAGACAAAAGGATCCCCCGTGTAGCCTACACACGTGAGCACCTATGATAGGGGGTCAGTGGGGGGAGGAATCGGGGGGAGGGCTATAGGGAAAACCACTCCCCACCCCCTCTGCTACTCCAAAAACTAGCATTTAATTGAGATGTACGAGAGAATATACATTGACTGTTACTTTGTAAACCTATGATAGGGGGTCAGTGGGGGGAGAAATCGGGGGGAGGGCTTTAGGGAAAAACACTCCCCACCCCCTCTGCTACTCCAAAAACTAGCATTTAATTGAGATGTACGGGAGAATATACATTGACTGTTACTTTGTAATTCTTCTCGGGCTCTATTTAAAGAAGTTAGATATTTCAGGACTTGCCCATGCTGCCTCTTGGGAAGATTGGGTGCCACGGTGGCGAGATGTGAACTACCTCGCCTGGTATGCAGGTGGTCGTGGGTTCCTTACTGACACCATGACGCCTCGATATTTGAAGTTTGCGTGCTCTCCCCGTGGTTGTGTGGATTTTTCATCGGGTCCTTTGGTTTTTCCCCTCCACGTTTAGAAACACGGGACGGTGTTAAATCTGACTCGGAGGCAAGCGACACAACCACTAAGCTACCCAGCCAACAATAATTAAATTTTTAAACATACGCTTTAAAGCTTTCGTGACTGCAGGGATTCATCTTCTTGGTTCTTTCGGTAAAGTCACGTAGAAGGGAAATAATAAAATAATAAAAATTAAACATAATAAAATAATTCTCACGACGTTTCGGCCACAACGCAAGCAGCCGTCCTCAGGTGAAGAACAGGTCTGTCGGAAAGACAGCGTCTGAATTATTTGCCTTCTACGTGACTTTACCGAAAGAACCAAGAAGATTTAAAACATACGTTTATAGTATTTGGCTGCTATAAATTTCCACGCAATGAGCCACTTCGTTGAGTTATCATTTGGTGGCCAGGTTACTTCTGAAAAAGAGCTATACAAAAAAAAAGTTTATAGTTTAGTTTGAGTTCTCTGCACGCTTGGCAGGGGAAACTCTCTTCTCCCCCCCCCCTCCCCCGTCCGTTGAACGTGCCAATCGTACCAACGCGAACACCGTCGTGTCTCCGTCGTGTGTCCGGCACGCAGCGTTCCCGCTGGAGAGCGTGCGCGCCAACCCGTACGTGGCCCTGCTGGTGACGGCGAGGGGCGGCCACCTGGCGTTCCTCGAGGGGCTGGTGCCGCGCGCCACCAGCTACATGGACCGACTGTACCAGCAGTTCGCGCGCGCCGTGCTCGGCGTCGCACGCGGCTCCCTGGAGAAGCAGCTGCACCTGCCGCTGCTGTAGCGGCGGAAGGTGCGGGCGGCGGCGACGGCGGCGGCGGCGGTTGCGTCATCGAGCCTAGCATCGACGCAACGGTATAATCGGCATAGCTATGCACGTCGGCAACAAAATACAATCAACGCGGCGCGTGGGGGGGCGTGGCGGTAACGCTCGTGCCGTCGCGGCGAGGCGGGCACCGGGTTCGATTTCTGACTCGGTCGCCTTTCCGTGTGGAGTGTCTACGTATGTGGAGTTTCTACGTATGTGGAGTTTCTACATATGTGGAGTTTCTACGTATGTGGAGTGTCTACGTATGTGGAGTGTCTACATATGTGGAGTTTCTACATATGTGGAGTGTCTACGTATGTGGAGTTACTACGTACTAGGAGTTTCTACATATGTGGAGTGTCTATATATGTGGAGTTTCTGCGTATGTGGAGTTTCTACATATGTGGAGTGTCTACATATGTGGAGTTTCTACATATGTGGAGTTTCTACGTATGTGGAGTGTCTACGTATGTGGAGTTTCTACGAATGTGAAGTTTCTACATATGTGGAGTGTCTACGTATGTTCTCCCCCCTGTTCTGCATGGGTTTTCCTTCGGGTTTTCCGGTTTCCTCCTCCCTTAGCTCAACACACACACACAGAACGTAATTGGTACTGGGTAAACATTCCCCAATGCTGAAATAGTTATGCGCAAATTACTTGATTGGGATTACACGTGGCAACATTGCCCCGTGCGGCGGGAACTTGGCAGGACCCTCCTATAAAAGGGTCTTGAGACTCGGTAATAATAATAACATGGTGAATCGACACAATATCGCCAACAGCCATGCCTGGCACTGACACAATACTAGCAACATAACACAACGATGTCTATCGTTGACACGAAGCTGTCACGCTAGCCACGCTTGTCACCGACACTAAGCTTTCAACTTAACTGAATTATACGCTTAGGTTTTTCGGTAAAGTCACGTAGGTAAAAAATGTATAATAAATAATATAATTGAAAAAATAATAGAAATAAAATAATAAATCACAACGTTTCGGAGGCAACACAAGTCTCCGTCATCAGGTGGGACCGTCACAGCTCGTTTTCCAGTCTCAAGTCATTATTTATTTTTTACCTACGTGACTTTACCGAAAAACTAAGAGTATGAATCCTTGCAGTCACGAAAGCTTCAAATCTAGAATTAACTGAGTTAATCACCGACGCCGAGCTATCGGTTAGAGGTGTAACCAACAACCTATCCCCCACCCCCCCACACCGGGCGATTAAGGGCTGCAATAAACAAAACAAAAAATCACATTAACAAACAAATTGTACTTTAACATTGCAGTGAATGTAGCAGCCGCTTGTGGCTGCAGGGTTCCACGAACCCATCACATAAGACGTATGAATATATAAGCACTGATACTTAAGCGCGCCATTTGCATGTGTCGTCAGCTTAGGAATCGATATGAATCGATGCACCGTTACACATATCAAATCTACTTATCCTATCGTCAATCGCACGCTCTCAACAGAACCATTCCGAAACGATCATCTTAGTTGTACCAATGTAATGTTTACAATCCAACATATCTACGCCTTTAATTATCATCATCATCATATACTACGTGAAAGTTAAAGCAGAGCCATTGTTCCCATAGACATAATTCCGTCATGCCACCCGTTGCTATTAACTTTATAATCATCATTTGGCTGCCCGATCATCGCTGTGATGTAGCACTCTGGCGGCGAGGCATGGTGGGTCACACACAGGGGCATGGAACTCCACAACCCACTGGGTTGCAAGGTGGTCAGTAGGTGGCAGGACAGAGAGAGCGGGTTCGTGAACTGGTCCGTCCGAGCGTTATCCCCTCCTCGTGTGGAGCGTGCTTTCTCCCGGCAATCTGGTCGCCTCCCACATCGGTTGATAAGCCGTTGGCCAAAACCACGTCGATGTGTTCTGGCCAGAGGTCGCAAACGAGTTTTGATTCCTTACCCGTACCCGTACCCGGCCGCACCAGGGTCGCAAACGGGTAGCCGTACCCGTACCCTACCCGATACCCGGCTACCCGTACCCGGCCGGGTATCGGGCAGGGTACGGGTACCCGATTGCGACCTCTGGGATGAAGCCATGTTGCAGGCGCGGGTGGGTTGATAGGAACTTGAATTGTGAGAAGAGACAAGACGTTGGGAAATGAGTGACAAACGGTTACTCACTAGTGACTCGCGGCCTACCCATACCCGGCCGCACCAGGGTCGCAAACCCGGCCGGGTACGGGTAGCCGGGTATCGGGTAGGGTATGGGTATCGGGTACCTGGTTGCGACCTCTGGTTCTGGCCAACGGAATGAAGGGCCTTGAGACTCGTTGAGATTTTGTTTCGGCAAACAAATTGCATTGAGGAAATGTCAGACAAAAATGCACAAAAATACCTGACGGAAAAATAACAACAACTCACAAATAACAGTTACCGTCACGCCGCCATTACTCTCACCGGCATAAAAAACAAACATTACCACTGGCACGTTTGACTACGTACGGTGCAAAAGAAGTTCAAAATGCACACGTACAACATAAGCGTGACATGAATACAAATACATTGAACAGCAATATCAACGCCATATGTATATTGTCAATGTACACGCGCTCGCTAGCATCGCGATCGCTACCGTCTACATCACCGCTATGTTTATCCCCCTTGCGTCAGTGTTGGCTCTTTACTCCGTCAAGAGTTCAAATGTTGTCTCGACACGAGCGGAGATTGAAGCAATTTCAAGTGGTCCATTTGCGCTCTCTGTGGGATGGGCCCCATTAACGATGAACAAATAATATCTACAGCGGCATCAATCGCCGGTAATGCACTGAGTTTCTGACATAGCGACATTGATCTGTGTGACACGAAGAGTGAATCGGAGCTGACCCCGTGAGAGCATGCAGCCCAGTTGGGTGGGAGTCTGACAGATAATAGTAGCCATGTGTGTCTATAGATATATAATAAAATAATTAGAGCGCATTTCGCTACTGCTTAAGCGCAAGGGGCTCCATCGTGAAGTCGGGGTGTTTTGAGTGCGTTCTTGACATCGGTGTGGCACCACCGCGTACGTCTGGCGGGTATTCTTACGTAAGATTTCACATACACATGAACGCAGTGATTAATACACTGGTCAACAAAAAAAGTTTTTTTCTGGCCTGGACTTTTGCAGCTGTTTTAGTGCTGATTCCAAATGTGATCTCAGATTTGCTCTATCACATCTCATTTGTATGCTATTGGCATACCCCATTTTCATTGATTTTACCCGAAATTAACTCTGTCACTTATGATTGCAAGTTGTTGCGAGTCAGTGACTGCTTTAGTGTTAAAATATGGTGCTGTGTTTTTAGGATAGTGTGTTTTTAATATCATTTTACGTAGATATCCACATTTATTTAATATTTTTTTCTGCAGTTTTTATTGAAAATGCAATATTTGATATCTAAAAAACCTGATGTGATAGACAAAAACTGATGCCAGATTTGGAATCGGCACCCCAAAATTACCTTAAAACCCTTGGAATATCTTATGCCAGAAAAAGTGTGTTGACCAGTGTTATTTATCTTCGGTGGTGTGTGGCAGTGGTCCCCAAAGCCATGGCCATCGGTCCCTGCGCCCCCCAGCGTCCGTCACTACCCCGCCACCCCCCGACGACCCCCCCATACTCCAAGTTTCAAGATTATTTTGTTGAACCAGGTGAGAACTCAAGGGACCAGGGTAGAGTCTCATTTCCCAGGGTGACCTGGATCGTGACCAAAATGGCAAAAGCAAAGGGCGGCAATTAAGTGAAGCAACCAAAAAAAAACACCTCTCAAAAGAGGAATGGATCGGAAATATATGCAAACGTAAATCAAATGTTAATCGAAGCTAAACATTTAATTCCCTGCAGTGCAAATCGGCACTGCCAAGGCCCCAATACGCGGAGAGATTACATGTCCACGCCTCTAGTGAACGCGGTGTTGGTAAGGCATGTGTTTCATGCCGTGTATCAGTGTGTTCGTAAGGTATTTGTTTCGTGCCGTGTACCAGTGTGTTTTGTGTTCGTAAGGTATTTGTTTCACCCTGCGTGTCGGCGTGTTCGGTCGCCGTAACGTCGCGCTGACGTTCCCTGGTGCACATTCCAATATTTCTCCTGCACGATCTCCATGCTGCTGCCTACCTGGTGAGAGCAGGTGGGGTAGTGGTCGTCGTGGTGGTGTGGTGGTGGTGGGGGGGTAAAATCCATATGTTGACGACCGCTGCACTAACGAACGCTCGGAATGCTTGTAACTGTCTCAACTAAAATCTGACCAAAATCAGCCCCGCACAGCCGGTGCGTTGGTGTTGATGGTTTGAGAGGCTCGACTTCGATTGGGACCTGATGGACCGTGGGCCGGGGTGGTCAGCATGAATGTGTCCCCCTGCGGTTTTCCCTATGCAAACCGGATCAGAGTTGGATTAATGTGGCCAGGTGCAGAAATCTGTACCTGACGCGGCAAAACTTTAGTTCGTACCGATTTATTTATACGGCTACTACTACGAGCGAACTGTACGACAACCCCGCTCATTGCAAACGGATATCGCGTCGTTCACAGTCTGTTGGCCGCATCAACACATCGCAAGCATGAGAGTGGGGGCCACCTCGTGTGGTGCCGTTCGATGAGGCATCTGCTCCGGCCTCTTAGACTACTGTTGCGTGTCGCATGTTCGTAGTTGCGCTCTGTGGTTCGAGGACTCGGAAAACAGCGACCAATTGAAATGTTATTTGTGCTCACGTGCTGTTTGTTATATTTATATGCGTGTAACAAAAAATCTGGTAATACCGTATTTTCTGGATTATAAGACGCAAACTTTTTTTTTTTACCTGACTTTTAAAGCAACAGTTTGGGGGTTGTGTCTTGTAAATCTGGTAGCTGTCCGCGTGCTTGTGCGTAACCGGATTTGTGTAACTCTCTTTAGACCGGGCACAAGTTTGAGGTGCGTCTGATGTTCCGGAGCATCTTATAATCTGGAGAATACGGTAATATTATAATTGTCCACACAACGGCGCGACACTTAAAAGATAATAATGCAACTCAAGAGATTCAGGAAATAACACATGCAACACAGCTGCCAGTAGAAATAAGATGTTTTTGTAATATCCTATATATTTACAAAATGAACATACAATGAATTTCATATGGAGACTTTCACGACCAATACAGTAAAACCTTGGGTTGCGAGCATAATTCGTTCCGGAAACGTGTTTGCAATCCAAAGCACCCGTATATCAGTTGTGATCACGTGACGCTCGGCAGACAAAGCGTACGCACGTACTACTCGCATTGCAAGACCTCGCTCGTTTATCAAATAAATATTTACTTAAAATTTTTGCTCGTCTTGCAAAACACTCGCAGCCCAAGTTACTCGCAATCCAAGGTTTTACTGTACTATGATTCATAACTGGTGGCTTTTGGGTTAGACCTCCTATGTGTAATGTCAATTCCAGCTGCAACCCCCCCAAAACAGAACAGAGCCACACAAACCAAGTTGTCACTTGGACAGATGTGCCAATGAATGAGGGTCGCTGGATCACGTGTCCTGGCTCTCTCCAGAAGGCGGTACAGCAGGCGGACTAATCGCCGCGCGTTTCCATCTGTACGGGGCGAGTGTTGGCCCCCATCTTTAAAATAAGGAAACCCATTGTTTGAGCAGGACCCTCCTGAAAAAAATGTCACGTGGCTCGGTGCGGATGAATAAGTTCAAACGTTAACCAAAGTTGATTTTGTAAGCGGTTAACATCGCAGAGCAAGAAAATGTTGGCGATATGTGAAATCGACTGGCACGTTTGACCACGTGACAACTTCATTTGTTTGGCTTTGATGGATGCATGGCTCTATTTGACATCATATCTGCACGGTCCGACCCAATAGAAACCAATTACGAACGTGCAATTGTTATGGGGGGACTTCAAACTAGCATCGGTTTCAAACACGTTTATACTCTATTCGTACAGCTTACGTCCACGAGGTTATAATACGCAAGGACTTTTTTTCTTTTGCGCGGGATGTTGTGAGCCCACAGCTGTTTACGGGAAGCGTGGCTAAGTGTTAACGTCAGTGTATCGTTCTGAGACAATCTTGAAACACACACTGGAATAACTATGAATTAATCATAATTTACAAATGATGTTTAGTTTTGTATAGTGCTGTTGTTAACGCAAATTGCATCTCACGATCGCCGAGGAACCAGAGGCAAAGCTTAAAGGCAGCAGCCAGATGGTGAGCCGGCACTACCAACAATTACCCAAGCTCGGCCATCCTCTATATATCAAAATGTTTTCATGGTGAAAACACGTAAAATGCGAGGGGGACAACGCTCTATCCCATACAGAAGCGACAGATGATATTCCGTCCCCATTTTGCTGTACCGCCTTCTCCTGGCGAGCCAGGATTAATGTGGTCCCGAGGCCCCGTGGGAAGGGAGCATCGCAACATGTGTGCGATCCACACCAACCCTTCACGTCTCCGGGTTACAGGCGTGCGTAGCCGCCACCGCCTGGCTAAACACAGAAGGCCATTGAGTAACTGAGATGCTAACTTAACACCGACCAGTATGTGTGTATTATTTATTTGTTACGCACTTGCACGTCTACTGCTCGCGAATACTGACAGTAAGAGTATATTTTATTTAGTTGCGGCCATTTGGCTCGTAATGTTTTCATGTATTGTTCTTATTCTTTGAATTATTGAAACTGTTAAACGACGCAAAAACTTGTATTTTACCAGGTAAGGCCCACTGAGCTGTATAGCTCAGAACGGATCTGGCTATCACAAATGCTAGCCCAACGAAGTGGCTTGCCACGCGGACATTTCTAGCAGCCAAATGCTCGAAACGCACGTTTCTAAATTGTTAATTGTTGGCCGGGTAGCTCAGTGGTCGCCTCGCTTGCACCCGAGTCAGATTTCACACCGCGCCCAGCTTTCATCTCCCCTGTGCCGGTCGGATAACGTCCACGCGAGAATGACAGCTCCATTCAGACGCGTCACCTTGCAAGATAAGAAAATAAAATACCGGAGCGTATTCCTGCGTAGCTGCAACTCCCCCCCCCCCCCCCGGAGGTGAGACTACCTATGGGCTCTTAGCTCGTTAACTAGACGGCATGGATGTACAGCAAGGTGTCGCTGAGCCATATCCCCGCGGTACAGCGCCCCACTGCTGGCTTACTCGGCGTTCAATGCAAACACAGGCAGGTGCATGCGGGAGCATCGCTTTTCATTGGGAGGTCCAAGCACGCGGGAGACACACGCGCTGGTAAATGCCAAAGAGTTACCGCATTGAGATCTATGTTGCGTGTCTGCCAAGATATTTTTTGCTTCAAGAGCGAAATATTCAGCGGAGAGCCCCCCCCCCCCCCCCACATGCCCCCAGTGGGCCAATTTGTCCGCAGCGATGTTGTTTATTATGCCCCTCGCTGTACTAAGTGAATTTTACTTCAAGTTTGAAGAACTCTGTTTTGTAAAATGTACGAGTAATAATAAAAAAGGCAATTCATAACGTGCAAATATTTCACGAATTGGGCGCAATATTCTATTGAGAGCTCGGAGGCACGTAGCCAGAGCTCAATATCCCTCGTACGCAGCTTGAGCCAGCTGAGAGCCTGAACCAGGTGAGAGTCTGAACCAGGTGAGAGACTGAACCAGGTGAGAGTCTGAACCAGGTGAGAGTCTGAACCAGGTGAGAGCCTGAACCAGGTGAGAGTCTGAACCAGGTGAGAGCCTGAACCAGGTGAGAGCCTGGACCAGGTGAGAGTCTGACCCAGGTGAGAGCCTGGACCAGGTGAGGGCCTGAACCAGGTGAGAGCCTGAACCAGGTGAGAATCTGAACCAGGTGAGAGCCTGAATCAGGTGAGAGTCTGAACCAGGTGAGAGCCTGAACCAGGTGAGAGCCTGAACCAGGTGAGAGCCTTGAGCTGCTGCTTAGAGGTGGATGGTGGAGCTTGGATGCCGCTGTGAATGTGCAGTGGGAGAGAGAGAGTTTCAGATGAACGGTGCAGCTACGGAGAACCGTCGCTCAGCAAAAAACATTCCTGGTTCTGGGTACAATGAGTCGGTTGTTTGATGAACTCCGTAGGAGGTGGTGGTTTGCTGTAGTCGGTGGAGTCCGAAGGGCAGAGGGAAGACTTTGAAAATATGTTTGTCTTGATGCGATGTTATCATATCAGAGAATATTTTTTTGTTGCCAGCTCTTGCGTGCAGGAACAACAACATGCACAATATCATTGCACACTTTAATATGTTTGAGTCTTATTTGAATTGGCAGTTGTACAAAAAGGGGGCTCGTTTCTCTCAAAGGTGTAAAAAACAAAAACGAATCATCCCAAGATCCCTCTCCTGTCCCACGAATCAACCGCGTACCATTTATCCAGAAACAATTTGCAACCACTGGCTTGGATGCATGCTAACACTTGGGTACCTAGCTCGTATTTACATTTTAAGAGGTAGTAGGTACGTTGTTACAATGTCAAAAAAGCTGCTAGCAGTTAAATAGCTTTATCTACTCTTGTTAGTTTATTGCTAGTTGGTTAATAAACTCTATGAATGAAGCATGTTTTAATCGAAATGTTATATGACTACGCACTTTACGGTACAACCAGCAGTAATGGGTCATATGTTTTTTATTTTACTACATTGCTAGAGAAAATAATCCAGACGATATATTGTTAATACAAATCCTTATAATCTTTAAAATATATATATATATACGCCGCGTGAGTTGAGGAGTGCTTGTTTGTGGATGATTTGAACTTGATAAAAAAAAAAAAACATGTTAACCGTGTGAAAAACAAGGGTTATTTGTATTTCAGTGTCGGTTGCGTGACACCGGCTGCATGTTACTTTGTGTCCCCTGCCACTTGGCTGGGTCTGCGTGTTTTCACGACAGATGCCTGAACAGCTTGCGAGCCCCCCCCCACCCCCCGCGCCCCCCCCAACCCAAAATCAAAGCACCCCCCACAATGCACCGCCAATAAATCATATTCATGTCAAGCGTGGCAATCACGTGGTAGATTATGCACGTGCCCTTTTGGGAAATGGAAAACGACGGGTGGCGCTTTAAAGTTGGCATCGAGCAATTTTCGTACCGCCCGTGACTTCTGTTGCGATGCGCTTGATTTCAAACGTGTGTTACCGATACAGTATGTTGACATGCTTGCCTGGAGAGATAACAACAACGAAAAACAATTGTGGTTTCATCACTGCTCAGGTGTGACTTGGCAGATGTATCTCGTGTGCTGAGTAACTTAAATGTTTTCTACCAATACTCGGTATAAGTGTCCCGTTTTCAAGTTGCTGTGACGTTGTCTCATCGTGTTGGGGGGGGGGGGGGGGAAAGCCGCTATTGAAATTGCGTCTCATTTTTGCACTGGGATAGGAAGAGTCGGGACCAGAGCGAGGGTGCAGATCATAAACTAAACTTTAAACATGTTTTTATTGTTTTACCAGATAAGGCCCACTGAGCTACATCGTTCTTTTTCAGAAGCGACCTGGCCACAAATGATAGCTCAACAACGTGGCTTGCCACGTGGACATTTCTAGCAGCCAAATACTCTAAACGCGTGTCTCTAAATGTGGAGGGAAAAGCCGGAGGACCCGGAAGAAAAATCCACGCGACCACGGGGGATATAGAACGCGCAGACTCAAAATATACAAAGGTCAGGGTTTCGGGCTCAAACCCACGTGCTCCTGTATACCAGGCGAGGTAGTTAACATCTCGCCACCAAACCAATGGGAGCAGCAGCCTCCTGTGACATCATTCCTCACACTTAATTTGGAGCTTTCGTGACTGCAGGAATTACTCTTTGGTTCTTTCGGTAAAGTCACGTATAAAGATAAAATAATAAATTAAATACTAGCATACAACGTTTCGATTGCAACACAAGCAATCATCATCAGGTATAAGTGAAATAGAAATACAAATCTAGTATACTTAGAAATGTAATGTAATACAACAGAGAGTCGGATAACAACAGTCAACACCCTACCTGGTTGATTACGTTCTTCCTGAGAATGCTAAATTTGAGAGAGATATAACACATCTCTGTGATATCTGTCTGCTTATATGTCTGTCTATATGTCTCTGGTTCTGTTCTATCTCTCAAATTTAGCATTCTCAGGAAGAACGTAATCAACCAGGTAGGGTGTTGACTGTTATGTTATCCGACTCTCTGTTGTATTATATTATATTTCTAAGTATACTAGATTTGTGTTTCTATTTCATTTATACCTGATGACGATTGCTTGTGTTGCAATCAAAGTCGACTGTGCGACAAAACTGTTGCTTGTTTTTCATCTCTGTTGTCGTTAAACGAGGGGATTTCGACTCTGAGCTCCCGCAGTGAGCAGTGCACCACGGGGTGTGGAAGGCGACGTTACAGAGCTACTTCAGACATCACTTTGACAGTCTGCTTTAGTCACCCTAGGGGTATTACCCGTGATATGCCCTGCTAAGAGAGTGTCACATCTGAAACCTATTAAAATACTTAAATTTCGATTTAAAGCTTTCGTGACTGCAGGGATTCATCTTCTTGGTTCTTTCGGTAAAGTCACATACCGAAAGAAGCAAGAAAGAACCAAGAAGACTATTAAAACACATTGGCAGAGTTGGGATATGCTGAATTAAGTGAAACAATACGATCTCGTTTTGTTGTGGCGAAGTCATGGGTGATCAGGCTGAGTCCATCGACTCGCTACCCCTTGAGAACCAATTTGAATCCCAGGCAGTGACTGAGACCCAGATTCAAACCCGAGAAAACTGCTATACCGGCTCGAAGTGTCTCTGTCTGGAGAGCCACGCGCTCACTCCCTCGCTCCCTCGCTCACAAGTTTAGCTTTCATTTACTCGAGCCTAAACGTCTCAATGCGAACCTGGACGTGAACGAGTCCTTTGAGATGAGTCGTTGACGAAAGCAATCTGACTTTTCCTCTCCCAGCACAAGAGGCGTTATTTCTCCACCGAAACATCACAAATGCATTTTCGTCTCCCGCGTTTGCTCATCACCCATCATTGTTCACCGTGCGTTTGTGATCTAACCCCCTTCCTTTATGATCACCTACAATAAAATATATATCTCTCTTAAACCTATCCGGCGCCGTTTCTGCTTCATGCCACGCCAGTGATTCACCGCGATGGGCCCTTTCCTCCTGCGCGGTGCACACGCGCCACGAAATCGCAGCAAATTGCTACGGCAATTTTTCGATTTAAAGCTTTCGTGACTGCAGGGATTAATCTTCTTGGTTCTTTCGGTAAAGTCACGTAGATTGGAAATAATAAAATAATAAAACATAATTCTCACGACGTTTCGGCCACAACGCAAGCAGCCATCCTGCTTGCGTTGTGTGTCATTCAGACTCTGTCTTCTCGACAGACCTGTTCTCCACCTGAGGACAGAGTCTTCTCGACAGACCTGTTCTCCACCTGAGGACGGCTGCTTGCGTTGTGGCCGAAACGTCGTGGGAATTGTTTTATTATGTTCTATTTGTATCATTGTATTACTTCCATTCTACGTGGGTTTACCGAAAGAACCAAGAAGATGCCACGGCAATGTTCCAAGTGTAATAATCCTTCGGAGACGGCTTCGGAATCGGTCCTCTTTATTTTCACCTCCACGATACACTTTATTCACTCACGCTCCGTTGCTGGCAGACAACAGAGAGCGGGCAGACTTCACACCAGTTTCCCACTGCGCACGTGGCACCCAGAGCCCCCGTACTCGCGTGGCTCTCGCCCTGTTCGTTTCCCAGTCTGCTCTCGATCGTTCTCTCTCACTCTCTCTTAATCCCTTCGTCACGTGGTCCCCCCAGCCAATCCTCCATGGACAGCCTCGACCATTCTCGATGGTTCCGTCACTCCCGGGACCACGCCTCTCATCCGGATCCCCATTAGCTGGGGCCCCGAATGGCTAGGCCAATCACTCCTGATGACATGCCGTGATCACGCCGGGCCCACGCTCCCTATCTCAACCCTTATTGGCTACAAAGCAGGACCGGCAAGCCAATCCCCACGTGAACCCTCTATGGCTGTTATTACACAAGTATTCTTGGTTCTTTCGGTAAAGTCACGTAGAAGGGAAATAATAAAATAATATAAATATTAAACTATAAAAATTCTCACGACGTTTCGACTGCAACAATCATCATCAGGTGTTGTTGCAGTGAACCGAGTTGGCCCTATCCGTGCCCGCACTTTGATTGAATGCCTTCATTTAGGGTTGATTTGGTTCAACGAAACGCGGCTCATTAACGAGAAGACCGCATTGTGCAGGGAGTTACCTCGGGGAGCAGACCTCGCGGGGCTTACCGCGTGAACGATGTTTGCCATTCGCTTGACGGAATTACGTTCCCCTGAGTGGCCACGAAGACCTGGGGGCTGACCTCAATGTCGGGGGAAATTTATGTTTGTGAGCACCTATTAAGGCTGGCGCGGCGCGCGGGATGCTCGTTTGGCCGATGCCGTACAAGGCCACCTTATCCTCCACACAGTATCGACCAGAGGTGTGGACTCGAGTCATGTGACTTGGACTCGAGTCAGACTCGAGTCATGAATTTGATGACTTCAGACTCGACTTGGACTTGCATAACAATGACTTTGTCCCACCTCTGGTATCGACACACCGCATCAGCTGAGAATAATAATTCGTTGTTTTTACAGAGCGTCGTTTATGCTAACTGCATATAGATAAGGGCCAAATCATATTTATAGCAGCTGATTTGAACAGAACTGGTGCGGAAATCACTCGCAACTCATAATCACAATATTTATCCTGGACAAATACGATGATCCATGAAGCTCCTTTTTCACATTTGCACCACAACAAGAGGCACGCGAACAACAATAAAAACAAGAGTGAGTACAACATTAATGAAGTCCCAACATCGCAGACCACAATTGCAACTTCTACCACAAACCGGGAAACCTTCATGGGAGGGACGGCGGAGATGACACCCGACCGCCTTTGTCTCCCCGGTGGCGATGTTTACCCACCGCACCGGGTACTCATTTGATGCTGAGTCGACCTAGGGGAAGGGCCAGACCCTGTGCAAATAATCGTCACTGGTTTTTGCCGTGAGCGGGAATCGAACCCGGGTCGCCAAGTTCGTAGCGCAGCGCGCTAACCGCTACACCACCACCACAGTGCCACAGGCGTAGTCAGCCGTGCGAGCGCACATGTTGTTCACGTTAACCTGGGATGATGTATCTTAAAGTCTGCACATGTCAGGCTAATAACTGCAAACAGCTCTGCACCGCGCGACCTAAACAAACCCAAGGCACCCCTCGCATGTACTGGATGTACAGCCATGTAAGGCTGCTCCGTGTACACAACAACAGCAGCAGCAGCGGCGGCGGCGGCGGTAACAGCAAAAACATAAGTCAGCAACAATCCTGTTACACAAATCTACGTGGAACGATGTTTAAAAAATATTTTAAAAAATCACATTGGCGAAGAGGTGGGGGGCGGGGGGTGGGTAGGAAATGCTTAACGTCTGCAAACAATTACGGCCTGTGGAACAAGCCCCTGTTGCCTGGACAAAAGCCATTCTGCGGATCTTTCAGGAAATTCTTGACAGAGCTCCGGTTTATTCTCTCTTCTCCCCGAGCTGCCTGAGGACGGGGGAAGGGGGGCACGGTGACGCGGTAAGAGCCCCCCACGGTGGAGCGCGCTAATGTGCTGGAGAAATCCGATGAGCTGCAAAGCTCCGTTTTTTCACAGATGTCCAGTAGGGAAAGTTAGAATGTCGCAATGACAAACAATGCAAACAACCACGATAGGAGTGCACAGTATATGACAATTAAATCAGAATCAGAAAGGGTTTTATTCGCCATGAAAGTTCGCACAGACAAGGAATTTACTCTGACAGGAAGGTGCATACATTCAACATGTAGGAATCTTAAATCTTAAATAAGTGGTGTACAAGTCTAACTATACTAAAGGTACAAAGTCTAACTAATACTAAGGAGCTAAAGTATGTAATAATTGAATTTAAAAATATTAAAATATACAATAGCTATAATATACAATATAAAATTTCAAAAATGCAAATAGGGTAGCATAGTGCAAATATGGCAGGGTGTAATTGTGCAGATATTGTGTTAAAGTCAGTTTGAGTGTTAAAGTCAGTTGAGTGTTAAAGTCAGTTTGAGTGTTAAAGTCAGTTTGAGCGTTAAAGTCAGTTT